CTTGCTGCGATGCATCCGGTTGCTGCCTGATGCAGAGCACTCTCCAGTTGGTCTGGCGGCAGCATTGCACCCCTTGTATCACTCACATGTGTGTACAGCTTCTCCACACCGCTGAAGCCAGTCGCCCGCTCGTGGTGCTCCTTGATCACTCGGGGCAGCTCCTCGAGCGGCACCACGGGGCACCACCGCCACTCTCCGCTGCGCTTGACGCAGCGGCACAGGATGTCCTGACCGCCAGCGCCCTTCAGCACCTGGAAGAACTGCAGCACCTTCTTGCTGTAGTTCTTGGTGCCGCCCTGCACTGCCGCCCCCCCTCCCGCACCCCGCCGCCGCCGGCCTGAGGGCGCCTGCTGGTCGCCCTGCTTGATCCGGATGATGCCCTCTACATCTGACTTAGTGAGAAACACATTCTTGGCGCCGTTTTGGCGCCGTTCTAAGGCATAAAGGATGACAGGTTGGTTCATAATTTTAAATTTGCGGCAGCTGCGGGGTGCGGGAGGGGAGAAATAGAAGCCTTAGAGACTTTGAAAGGCGAAGGAAAGGGAGGGATCGCGGGAGAGAGCGTGCCTGATGAGCCAGACGAATCGGGGGAGGTGCCACATCAGCGGGCAACACATGCGGGCTCGCGCATTGGCCCTGCAATGCTTGCAGACGGGCTTGGCTCTCATCATATCAGGTGACCCCCACTCTCACCAGCTTGCTCCACCATGGCCGGCTTGGAGGCCGCCACCACCACGAGGCGCTGCGAGCAGCGAGGCAGGGCCAGCAGGGACACCAGGTGCCGCACCGGGCCAGCCATGGGTGCCGGCACTTGATCTGTCCTGCAAATCAGCGTGATAACAACGATGTGAGGAAGCGTGGCCGACGGCTCATGAGCTTGCCTCGGGACGCTCGCCACTGCGCCGCCCAGCGCTGTGCCTGCGCCCTGCTGACGGGGCACGCTGGGCAACCCTCGCATTTCGCCTTCTCTCTATGTACACAGGTTCCTCTCGATATCAGACGATCTCTGAACCCAGCACATCTCCAGCGATGGTGAAATACAAGGAGCTGCGCGATGACTCTTCGCGTTCCCTGGATGCGCTGGGCAAGGAGGTGGACCGTCTGCGCCTTGAAGTTGAAATGGCGCAGAAGGGCTACATGATGCCCGTCGAGGAGCTGAGCGAGGCGGAGGAGGAGCTCCCCCACGAGTAAGCGTCAAAGCGCGCCCGGCTGTGTTTTAGGCCTTGCACGGCGCTGCGGTGCGCAACATGCAGCCATGTGGCACCATCAATCGCCTGCGACGGATCGGCGCCCCTCATCCCAAACGCCCATCGTGCCGCCGCCGGTGCCGCCATGTGCCGCCGCTCTCCTTCTCTCCCCCTGCAGCCCCTCCTTCCTGGCTGGCTTCCAGACGCCCGACGACTTTGTAATCCGCGAGCATACCATGGACTATGGCAACGGGGAAAGCTACTCGGTGCGAGCTGCTGGGAGGCCCGGTGCTCGCCGCCGCCCCTCCACCCGCCCTGCCTCTCCGACTTCTGCCGCCCTCTTGCGGCTGCCCACCCTGCCACCCCGGCCGCCACCCCCGCAGGGCGAGATGCTGTGCACGCTGCGGCACGGCCGCGGCGTGCACACGTGCGCCAACGGCGACCGGTACGAGGGGCAGTGGCGGTACGATCGGCGGGACGGTACCGGCAAAATGACCTTTGTGCGCGGGCTCAAGTACGAGGGGGAGTGGAAGGACGACAAGGCCCACGGGTGCGGCGCCGGGTTGGCACAAGCGGGCCTGCATGCAGGGCGAGGAGAAAGGACGCTCTGCATCGTGCCTGCAACAGCGCTTGCGTACATCACCCCGCCGCCACCGCCGTCCTCCAGCCACTGGCAGATGTGCTGCCAGCCGCCCTCCTGCTGCCGCCCACGGCCCCCCTGCAGGAGCGGCGCGGCGCAGTACGAGAACGGCGGCGTGTTTGTGGGGGAGTTCCGGGAGGACCACCGCTGGGGGTGGGGCACCCACTACTTCCCGGGTGGCGACAAGTATGAGGGGGAGTGGGAGGACGACAAGATCTCAGGTGAGTCAGATTGCATGGGCCAGGCTGGACGGCTGCCGGGCTGGATGGCCAGGCTGGATGGCCAGGCTGGCAGCCAGCTGCCTGCCTGAACCTGGCGCTCATCCGCCGCACGGCGCTCACCTGGGCGCACATGCGCTGAGGTCTCTGCTGACTTTCAATAACCGCTCATGCTCCTGCAGGCAAGGGCCGGTGGACGTACACCGATGGCAGCTTCTTCGAAGGGGAGTGGCGGGAGGGGCTGCGGGTCAAGGGCAAGGTGGCGGCCGCCGACGGCAGCTTCGAGTACAGCGGCGGCTGGAAGGACGAGCAGCGGCACGGCTACGGCGTGCTGTTTCAGGTGGGCGCCGCCGCTGGTACTGCCGCTGGTACCGCCGGCTGCCAGCAGTGCCGTGTCCCTGCCCGCCGCCGCGGAATGCCAGCCAGGCAGCTGCAGCTGCTGCTGGCCCTGCCCGACAGCTGCTGCCTATGCTGGCAGTGGCGGCAGTGCTTCACTCTAAGGCAGCGTGCGTCCCTGACCCTTTTGCTCGACTCTGCCCACAGCGTGGAGCATTCAAGTACATGGGGCAGTGGGAGGCAGATCTGCAGCATGGGGAGGGCAAGTGCGTGTATGCAGACGGCTCGACGTATGACGGCCAGTGGCAGGCGGGGCAGAGGTGGGTGGGCTGACAGGCCATCCAGCACGGGGACGAAGAGCTGGCTGCAGGGATGGGCTGTCGACGAGCGTGCCTGTTGGCAGCTGCATGCCAGGCCCGCTGATGCTGATGCTGCTGATGCTGCCCGCCGATGCGAGTGTGCGCTCAGGCACGGGCAGGGCAAGCTGAGCCTGGGCAACTACCGGTACGAGGGCGGCTGGAAGGAGGACCGGCCGCATGGCGTGGCGGTGTGCCAGACGGAGGCGGGAGACAGATACAAAGGTGGGAGGGGCCGGCCGGTGATGGGTTGTGATTGCAAGAGCTTGTGAGCTGCTGCCCTGCACGACAGCTGGTGCATGCAGGCGGCTGCACACCTCCACCTCAGCGCTCAAAGGACGTTCTCAAGCAGCTGCCGCTCGCATTGCGCCTGCAGGCGAGTTTTTCGAGGGCCAGCGGCACGGCAAGGGGCTGTGCCACTACGCGGATGGCAGCAAGTACGAAGGTGCGCCCTCCCTGCTGCTGCCAGCACAGCAGCGCTGGCCGGCGATGAGAGCCCCCTGGCGCACGCTGTGCTGGGCGTGCTGCGGCTGTGTGTCACCTGCTGCGCTGGCTGCTGCGCTGCCTGCTGTGCAGGGGAGTGGCTGGCCGGGCTGCGGCACGGCAAGGGCGCCTGCCTGTACGCAAACGGCGACAAGTACCAGGGTGGGTGCCAGCATGTGCTGTCTTCATGTCAGCGGCGGCAGCATAGCGCCGTCGCTGCCACTTGGCGCCAGCTCAGCCCTCCGCCCTTCCACTGGGCGCGTGCTGCCCTCTCCTCCATGCTGCAGGGGAGTGGCAGGCGGACAAGCGGCACGGCTACGGCGTGTGCAAGTTTGCTGATGGCCGGAAGTTTAGAGGTGGGCACTGCCGTGCTGCGCGCAAGGTGGCCAGGTTGGCCGGCCTTGCCAGCTTGCTGAGCAGCTCCATGCATGTACTCTGCGTACCTGTACCAACGCCGCCGCTACTGAAGACAGCACGCCCCACTGGTGCTGGCTGCAGGCGACTGGGAGGAGGACGGTTGGGTGCAGTCAGCGGCAGACCCGCAGCACTGCCGTGTGGCTGGGCCTGGCGTGACGCGGGCGGTGGCGGGACAGCGGGTCGAGCTGGCGGTGGAGGTGCGGCGCGGTACATAGCGGTACATGTCGGTGCTGGCAGTGTGCTGGCAGTGTGCTAGCCGTGCGCTGGCCGCTTTTGAGCTCTGCATGGGGAGCGCCGACGTGTGCCAGCTGGCCGCCGTCCCCGCCTGCCTCCCTGCAGGCACGTGACGACAACGGCTGCCTGCGGCTCAGCGGCGGCGACGAGTTCCAGGCAGCGCTGCAGGGCCCTGCTGCGGGTGCGGCGTGCTCCTCTGCTGCCGGTTATGCCGTGCCGCCGGTGGCAAGGCCCTGCCCCCGCTGCTGGCCCCGGCCTCAACACGCCGGCAGCCTCCCATCCCTACCCTCCATGCCCGCCTGCCTGTATCGCTTGCTGGCTGAATTCACCGCCGCACTTTGCTGCCGCCAAATGGGAACCGGCGGTGTGCTGCTGCAGTGACTGCTGACGTGGCAGACAATGGCGACGGCACATACAGCCTGTCCTACACCGCCACCGTGGCGGGAGTATACCAGCTGCACATCACCATCGGTGAGCAGCTTCCGGGAAGCTGCCATGCGCTGCCGCCATGCCGCCGGCATCGCCTGGCAGCAGCTGCCGCCTGCTGCACCGTGCACATGCTGCGGCGCTCACCTCAAACTGCGGCTCAGCTGGCATAGCTGGATGCTTGCGGTGGCAGGCAAGAGCAGAGAATGCCATATTTCATGTGACAAGACATCGACTGCGGCCACCCTTGGCCATCCCTCACACGCCCACCGCTTCCTGTGCTCCCCGCCAGGTGCTGGGGAGCACGTGGCACACTCGCCCTACCCGCTGCGTGTGCTGCCGGCGGCGCCCTGCGCCCGGCGGTGCCAGGTGGCGGGGCCGGGGCGCAACGGCGCATGGGCGGGCACCCTGGCCCGCTTCACCGTGGATGTTCATGATGAGTATGGCAACAGGTGCGGCGGCAGTGGCGGCATGGCCGTGGCGGCGGCAGGGTGCAGTAGTAGTGGCGGGGTGTGCCCAGCGGGGGAAGTGGGTGGATTGCTGCCACCGTGACGGCGGTGGATGCCGGTTGGCAGATGACGGTGTCACCGTCCGCGGATGCCGCCCCTCCTGCCACTTGACGGCTGCCAACCAGCCATCACTTTCACTCCGTGGCGCCCTCCCCACCTGCCTGCCTGCCCGCTCCGCCTGCCTGCAGGTGGTCAGGCGAGCCGGCCGCTCTGCAGGCGGCGCTGTCTCTGGAGGCGCGGCTGGAGAGCGGCGGTGCTGAGGTGGCGGTGGAGCTGGCGCCCACACGGGAGGGCCAGTTTCATTGCAGCTACACAGGTGCCCTGCGCTTTGTGGGAGAGGGATGTGTGTGCTGGCCAGCTGGCTGCACGTACATGCGCCGGCCGCCTTCCTGCCGAGCTGGACCGACAGCTCCTGCCAGGCCCCTGCCGCTGCCTGCCCTTGCCCTGCCGACGCCCGCCCCTGCTCCTGCCTGCCCTCCCATGCCCCGCCCCAGCCCCCTCCCCTGGCTTCTGGCGGCTGCACATTGGGTGCCGCGGCCAGCCGCTGCCACGCACCCCCTTCTCGGTCCACGTCGCCGAGCTGGCGGCGGCGGCAGCAGGTGTCACCGCGGGAGCAGCAGCAGCAGGCCAACAGCCCGCAAGCGACGGCGCGAACGGCATGGCCGCGCCGGATGCAACAGAGGCTGGCGCGGCAGCCGAGGTGGATGCTGCCGCGCTGGCGGAGCCCGAGCCGGTGCCGCCGGCGCTGCCGCCGCCGCCGCCGGTACGGGACGAGATGCGTGTGTGGGCGGACATTGCGGCAGCTGCGTTTGCGGCCGACGGCGACATGGCTGGGTGGGACAGCGATGTGGAGCGGGAGGCCAAGAAGGAGACACAGGAGGAAAAGTACATCAGGGTGGGTGGGAGGTGGTAGGCTGCGGCTGGTGGGTGGTGGGCGGTGGTGGTGGGCGGCGGTGCATTATGTTCAAGCCTCCACGCGAATGGCAGAGAGAGAGAGGGAGAGTGTGTGTGTGTGTGTGTGTGTGTGTGTGTGGAGGTGGCTGTGCATGAGGGTGGTGGCAGCTGGCTCGGCAACAGTGGCAGCGGCGAACGATGCACAGGAGGCTGGCGTGGCTGCCCTGACGCCGCCTGCTGCCCACCCACCCTTGCTCATGCCTGCCTGCCTGCCTGCCCTGCCTGCCTGCCTGCCAACCCGCCCCTGCCCCTGCCCTGCCTGCCTGCCCTGCAGGAGCACCCCGGCGTGCCTGTGGTGCAGAACCTGGAGGACTTGTGGAAGGTCTCCCGCCTGCAGAACCAGCGCAAGGCGCGGGAGGAGAAGGCCAAGCAGCAGAAGCTGGAGGTGAGGCGCGCGGGCAGTGGGCAACGGCGGGGTGGTGTGCGCAAGGCGGACGGCGGTGCCCACCTGTGGTGTAGTGGCCGTGGCTGCGGCGGCCGCCGAATCAGCGCGGTGCTCTTGCGGGCAGCGGCCGACCGTCGCCTTGCGCCGCCCTGCGCGTCGCCCCGCGGCCGTGTGCAGGGCATGCGGACGCAGCTGGAGCAGGCGTTTGGGGCGCCGCAGCTGCCGACAGAGGAGGAGGTGGTGGCGGCGGTCAAGGAGATTGTGACGGCAGACATATTGCAGCAGCAGAAGGAGCAGCAGCCAAACAGCAAGCGCACGGGCGGGACCCAGGCGGCGCAGGTGCTGGGCGGTGATGCGGCGGCGGCCCCTGCTGTGGGCAGGAACGGCAGGGCGGCGGCGGGACGGGGTGGCAGGGCGGGGCTGCAGGCCGCGGCGGCGGCGCTGGCCCAGCTGGACTGACAGGGTCGGCCGGCATTGCCAGACTCTGAATCCCGTCACTGATACTATGCATCTACACCGCTTCAGCTGTAGCAACCAGCAAACAAGACCTTGTGCCGGTGCAGCATGCGCCGCCGGTTGCCAGCGCATGCCCTGGCTAGGTGGCTGCTGGGGCAAAATGCGGCACTCAAGGGATTGCATATGCTCGCCCGACCGTGCCGTCACTGCCCGCACTTGAGTCTGCCGTGTGTTGCCGGGGCTTCAAACCCAAGTTGTTGAGGGTTGGTTGGCGTTTTGGCTGGCACGGCGCCTTGTCACCGCGAGTGTTGCCCATCACCACTCGCATTACCTCGCTCGCACTGCTCGCAACAGCGCCGCCATCGAAAGGCGCTGACAGGAGAACCAAGAAGTACATGTTGTTGTACAAGCGCGGTTGAGGAGGCCCGCAAGCACAAGGGCCCGGGCCGCCCCATCCCCGCCAGACACTCTGACATGGCGAGACTACGAGGCAGCAGCGGGGCGCTGCTGCTCGTGGCAGCAGCGCTGTGCTGTTGTTGCGGTTTGGCGGCAGGTGCGCGCTGCAGCCGGGGGCACCGCCCACCGGGGCCTGCACCCACTGTGCATGCATTTGGGCTGCACAGACGCCACTGCGGAGCGGGCGCGGGTGCCAACAGATCCTCCTAACAGATCCCCTGGGCTCTGGGCGGGCCGCGTTGCGCTCTGGGGCCCCAGGAGGGCATGATGGGGCGGCAGGCCCAGGGTTGGGGCGTCCGCGCAGCGGTTGCTGCCGACTCATGGGACGTACACCGCTCTGCGGGCGGCGTGCCGCCATGACCGCTCGCTGTTTGCTGGAGCACGCCCCTGACCCAACCTGCTGCCTGCGTTTCCTCCTGCCCTGCAGACGTGAGTATTTCTCTGGTCTGGTTGAATGCAGCTACTTGTAACCAGGCAGCTGGATGGGAGGCGGGGGGCACTAAGCCAGCTCCGGTCGCCCGAGCGGCTATTACGGCCAGCGAGGCTGCTTGGGGGCAGCCACCAGCATGGGATGCAGCAGCACACCGAATCCAGCATTGGCATACGTGATGCTGCACGATTTTTGTGTAGTATACAGCCTAACTGCCGCCGAACACTCATCCTCACATGCATTCCCGCCGCTGTGCGCCGCCGCTCCCCTGCAGGCCCCGCCGCCGCGCCCGCCGCCTCCGCCGCCCGCACAAGGCGTGGTCGTGTTTGTGCGCTACAAGCAGACAGGTGAGGCTGGCTGGAGAACCTGACTTGACCTGCCTGCCATGCACCCCTGGTGCTCTGCATTGTCGTTTTACGAGGCGCTCCGCATGCGGCGCACGAGCGGCGTACCCTCCCCGCACCCACCTCCCGCCTGCAGCCCCCACCCCCAAAAAGAACAACGCCACCATCGTGGACTTCGTGCACCGCCTGACGGGCGGCATCGGCCCGCCAGTGCTGCCCCTCTCAGCCGTGCAGTGAGTGATGCCGCGCCGGCTGCCCTCCCTTCCCACATGCCACCTTCCCTTGCGGCCCGCTTGGGGCGGTTTGGGTGGCGGCCCTGTGCACCCTTGCCAGCATCCCATGCCCAGCCCGGCAGGCCCGCCAGCGTCCGCATAAACACACCTCGCCCACCGCGCCTCGCCCGCCGCCGCAGGTTCCTCACCGGAGCCCCCATCGTGCCCAACTTCCCGGGCGCCGTGGAGGCGGTGTGCAGTACCGCGGACGGCACCTGGGTGCAGGCATCTGTGCGCGTCAACACACCCTACGCCTATGCTGTGTTCAAAAACGTGTCAGACTCGCTCCGGGAGCCAGGCGTGGGCCTGCTGCCGGTGCGTGGGACGAGGGAGGCGCCCGGGAGGCGGCCAGGCGCTGGCGGGGCGGCCGGCAGCGGCGCACGGGGGCGGCTATTGGCTGGTGTTGGGCTGGCGTTTTTGCATGCCACCCGGTGGCTGACCGGCCCTGCCCCCTTCCTGCTGCCGCAGCAACGGC